TTATATACATATATTTCTTGGACACACTTTATTAATATAAAATGGAATTATCATCTTTATTATATAAACTTCCAACCAAAATATACAATATAATAAAAGCTTTTGACTTTACAAGTAGATAAACCAGGCATAGAATTAAAACTAAGACTGGGCTTCAATAGAAGCTAAACCAGAAAGCCCTATGAAATGAAATATTATAAAAAAAAAATCACAGCTCAAGACAGTTCTAAATGGGAAATTGAAAAGTTTTCTTAGACAGATTGAAGGTCAAAGGAGGAAATAGAGCTCACTGAACAATGTAGGTCTGTGCATCATAATTGAAAGAGCGACATGTATAGGGATATTTCTGTGGGTCTATTTCATTCTTACTGTCTTTCTCTGACCACCAATGAGCTTATGAGAGAAAGAATGACCAAATAATGACCATGTTGCCTGGTATTGTAGTGATTTGATTTGATAACTTTGGGATTGTGGTTTTTTTTTTTTAATTTTTTTTTTATTTTTAATTTTTTTTATTGTGGGTTGTTCAAAACATTACAAATTTCTTGACATATCATATTCCACACTTTGATTCAAGTGGGTTATGAACTCCCACCTTCACCCCATACACAGATTGCAGAATCACATCAATTACACATCCATTGATTTACATATTGCCATACTAGTGTCTGTTGTGCTCCGCTGCCTTTCCCATCCTCCAACCTCCTGGGATTGTGGTTTTGATAAATTGAAACTTTTTTGTTTCAGATGGTAGCTACTACTTGTGAAATATTCTCAAAGATTGCCTGAGTTAAACCATAAACTTCATAGCATTTTCCCTAGGTAATAAACTTGGGGAAGATATTGTTGAGGTTTTATTTCTACTTTATGCATAAGCTAGTGAGATAAATACCTATTCTTGTCTAGTTGTTATTCAAATATGATTTTTAGCTTTATTGACAGACATGTTTTAATTACCCTTTATTTCTGAAAGGATTTTTAGCTGAAATGATATTGCAAATACTTTTGCATTTTCAAAAACAACTGTGTATATAAAGCCAAGTTGCAAAGCAATTTGTTAGGACAGATATTTGTACTGGTTTGAAATTTTTCTGTGGCCTGATTTTGAGTATATCATCTGCTCTCTCTGCCCGTAGCAAAGCTCCAAGTAATGACTAGAATGATGATTAAGTAACAGCAATCAAACAAAGTTCTGCTTCTCTTAGAAGAGCTTAAAGGAAATAGACATTGCTGGTGGAAGTGTAAATTGATGAAGTCATTCTGGAGAAGAAATTGGCAGTGTTTAGTGAAATTAAATACCCTTGACCCAATCATGGCAGAGAAACTTTCGCCAGTGCACGAGAAGGCCCACTCTAGGTATTCATCACAGTATTGCTTGCTGAGTTCGGGGATGTTGGAGGCAACTTAGATGTCCATCACCAAAAGAGAAGATAATAAAATATAGTGAATGCATAACAAACAAACAAAAAACCCAGAGACACATATGAGTGCAAGGATAAGCTTACAAAGTCTAAAATTAAAAAAAAAAAGTAACAAATTCTATAGTACAATATCATTTGTGTAAATTTAAAACCTGCTCCCCTACACACATATAACAGCACCATATACCTTCACACATCTGAAGATACCTCTCAGGTACATTAGATTGGGTTCTTGTGAACCCTGGCAGAAAGGAGGGCCAGAGGGGATCAGAGCTGAAAGGGGAAAAGACAAACAAAACAAAGAAAAGCAGAACCCAGTCCAGTGCTGCTTATGAGTGTGATGAATTTAGCACATCTAAGCTCCAAATGTCAAAAACAGGTCTGGGGGGGGTGCAGTGGGTGCTGGGATTGTGGCTCAGCGGTCGAGCGCTCCCCTAGCACGGGCGCGACCCGTGTTCGATTCTCAGCACCACATATAAATAAAGGCATTGTGTTGTGTCCACCTACAAAAAAAAAAAAAAAAAAGATTATCTCTCTCTCTCTCTTAAAAAAAAAAAAAAAACAGGTCTATTCTGCAAATGCTCCTTTAAATACTAGTTCCATTAGCTCTTTTGGGGAACTAGCACTTTTATCTGTTCAGTATAAGATCCCATTTTACTAAGACCTATACTTTATTTTCCTCATATATAAATAGAAAGAATAATATAATTTGACACTAACTTGATAAAATACATGTAAAACATTTAGAACAGTATGTGGCACATAGTAAGTCAATAAGCATTGAATATTATTGCTATTGTTATGTTATTGTTATTATTATGTAACATCACTTTGAAAAAAAGATCTAGTCTTGAGGAATTTATTCTCTACTTCAAATTATTCTTTGTTAGAAGTTGAGAGAGAAAACTAATATCTATCCTAGGACGGTTAAATGAAAAGTAATAACAGGTAATGATGATAAAAAGGTCTGCAAGAAAGAAAAGTCATAGGCTGATTTCTAATCATTAGGTCAGTTAGCAATTGTTAGGAACTACCTTAATGCTTAATTTAAAGGGAAAAAAGATAGAGCCATTAGAGAAAATAAAAAGATGACTGGTTGCCAGGGGTCCATTGAGGGAATGAGGGATAAATAGGCAGAACACAGAGGAATTTTAGGGCTATTAAACTATTGTGTATAAAATTGCAATAGTTGATGTATGGATACATATCATTATATATTAGTCTAAACTCACAGTATGTACAACAGCAAGAGCAGACACTGATGTACACTATGGACTTCAGGTGAGGTTGCTGGTATGTAGCTTCATCGATTGTTAACAAACGTACCATTTAGGTGCAGGCTGTCGATAGGCCAGGGACAGGAAGGAGAAGCAGAACATAAACTGCTATACTACTCAGTTTTGCTGTTAATCTAAAAGTGCCCTAAGGAATAAAGTCTATTTTTTAAAGTATATTAACTTTTTTTGAAGGAGAGTCCCTAGCCTTAACCCATACCTACTAAAGGAACTTGGAAATTATTTGTTTGTTTGTTTGTTTTATAACAAGGAGACAGGGAATTTTATTCTCAAGCAAATTTAGGAAACTGGAATAAGGAAAGACCACAATTTCTTTGAAAACCAAGAAGACAATACACCCTGTTTACCTACTGGCTCTGTTGATGATCTCATCTATTATTCTATAAAAGGAAGACTTTCCTCCTCCAGCATCAGGCCCTCCTCAGTTTCCAACCCTCAAACTCTTAAACTTATTTTTTCATTTTTCTATGGCCAGTGAATCACAATCCTATTGTTAACCATTGCTTTTAAATTTTTGTTTCTGCCTTTCCATTCTCTGTTCTAATAATCTTCCTAAAGTTCCAGTGGTCCTAAAAAGCATTGCTACAAACTCTCCATGAGAAACTTTCCATTCCTCAACCTGTTGGGGAAAGTAGTGTAGACGTCATCTGATTCCACTCTCCTCTCCTTGGCCCTGAGTATAGATAGGCCTTTGCTCAGCCTCATCTCCCTGTCAGAACCGCCTTTTCTCCTTCTCTCTGACTCTCCAAATTTTGTCAATGCTTTCTTTCCAGGGGCTGTTTCAGCCCATGTTGTCATCTCCATTCTCTGGCATCTGTAAAATTCATGAGCTGTTGCTTGCATTGACAATCATGTATTTTGCTTTAATTAATTTATGTTCCTTGCAACAGGTCAATGAAAGCTTCCGAAGGGCATATAGCTCTTCCTAATGAATGGATGAATTCACAGAATAATACTGTTTCTGGAATGAAGTGATGTTCTTTCTTGAGAAAGAGGGCTTTATGTAGTTGCCCTATAAATTCTGAAGGCATTTGTGTGTTTAGAACATTGAAGATTAATTTTAGACTTTTTCTTGTTTATTTTTCTTAGATTCTCCCCACCAAACACATACACACACAAAGCTATACTATGAGATGAGCCTCTTATTCTTTGGCTTTCAATCCAATGCCAGATTATTGCAACAAATAACACGTGACCACGTACAGTTGACTATGGTGTCATATGCAGAAGTAGAAATGTAGAGTCTGATTGAGGATTTTTGTTGTTTCTAACAGCAATATGCTCCATGGAAATGGGGTAGATTTTCAATATTGCAATTGTAATTTAAGAACTATTTTAAAGATTTGGAAAACTGAGATAGGATATTTAAATCTAAGACCTTCCTGGAAGATCCAGACTGGTGGCCGCTAAGTTCCTCAATGACACACAGTGTAGAATTATGGAAGCTACAAAAGAGTAAAACATGGAATGTCCCTGCTATAGAGGAGCTTATGGCATTATTGGAGAGATAGAAACTTCTATGAAGAAAATTATAGGGAGGTTAATAAACAATACAAAAGAAAATAAAATTCAACAAAAATTCTCACCCATAAAATGTGCCAACCGGTTGTATGTGGTATTTCAGATCCTCAGCAATTTTTTGAATAAGGATCTATCATTGCATCTTGGAGATGAGAAATTAAAGCTCAGAGGTGAGCGATATGCCCAAGATCACACACTTTGGTGCTCTTTGGAGAAAGAATTTTAACCCAGATTCAGTCAGTGCTCTTTCCATTCTGGTATTTATCTATCCTTTCTTTTCCTGTATCATAGTAGATCTTCCAAAGAAATGGCAAAGTTATTATTGCTCCTTAAAACATGTGTAGAGAACCATTCTTGGTGGAAATGTAGGGTTTTCTCCCTTTTTAAAAAAAAAAAATTGTGCCGGTTGCAGTGGCACATGCCTGTAATCCCAGCAGGTCAGGAGGCCTAGGCAAAAGGATCAAAAGTTTAAAGCCAGCCTCAGCAATTTAGTGAGGCCCTAAGCAACAGAGTGGAGACCTTTTCTCTAAATAAAATACAAAAAAGGGCAGGAGATGTGCGCCAGTAGTTAAGTGCCCTAGATTCAATCCCTGGTACCCGCCCCCCAAAAAAAATTGCTTTAAAAGCTATTATAATATCTTTACATGTGAAAGAAACAGGTGACAGTAAAAGCAGAATATATTACATTTGAACCACCTACTGTTGGCTCTCATATAATTATGTCATTTCTTTTCTCTTGAAGGCATCATATGGAACAAACAAAATGAATAAAAATAAACTGATTCATGATTTCCTGGAATTTGTTTCAAGAGGTGATATGAAACTCATCTGTGACCATATTACTAAAGTCTATTCCATCCTGGGAAACCTTGACTTTCAGCACCCAAAGACTGGAAATACTCCTCTCATTACTGCAGCAGAAGAAAATTTAACAGAGGTACAAGGGGAGGGAGAAAGACAATGGTTCCACACCAATAAACAAAGCATGTTTACGTTTGGTTTCCAGGATTATGGCTCCTCCTTTTTGCTCAGCCTAATGAACTTCCAGTATCTAGAGTCCATCCAAAGCCCTGTTCAGAAGGCAAGGTCATTATCACTAACTATCTTTCTCAGCTTCAGGCACCGTTTAACATAGTGGTCACAGTCACATTACATTCTGGCTGGAACAAGCCTTTGATTAACACAGGCTTGTCCTGACTTTTTTTTTTTTTTTAAAGGAATCTACTCCAGGTCATTTTCTGTTCCATTATCATGATATATTTTAAGTTTTTACCTAGTTTAAAGATAACAGTTAGGGGAGTTTTCCAGGACAGTGGGGATAATCACATGAATTTGGATTTCTTTGGGTCAGTTTCTCACTCTCTGGTGGGTTAACTGCTAGAGTATTATAAACCTTAATGCAGACCAGGAAGAGCCTGAACATTCAGCAATGCCTTATCAATGGTTTCCCATGGAAATTTATCTGTGTCAGGGAAATCTCCCCTGGAGGTCCAAACCACCCTTACCTAGAGCAGGAAACATCTATTATGAAAAATTCTGAGACCTTTCCCTAATCACTGAGTGGATCCAAGGTTGTTATCAGGAAGCACTGAGCTATGAGACAGCTTGAACCAATTTGATTTTCTTTAATAAGCACTATGCACCCCAGCACCCACCTCCCCAGTGAACCAGTCAAAGCTGGAAGTTTGGGTGGTTTCTGTTCATATTAGTCATGATTTTTTTTTCTCCTTTTATCTTTTTCCACTTCTTTTTATAAAGATGCATATCTCTGTAACTGTTGCCTGAAAGGGGGTAGAAGTTTTGCTCACATAGGAAGCATCTTGGTATTAGTTGTTACCATGGCATGAGCAACATGGATCTGAAGCTAACTGCCAGATTGGCCAGGAAGACAGCACCCACAGAAGAGTTAGCAAAAACAGGATACTGTTTGAACAGCTGTCATTGAATTTATTTCCTGGTACTCAGCCTGCATCTACCTCTCAGTTTATCCTCATTAAATCAATAAAGTGGAGAAGACTTCTTATTTAATTGGCCGTACAATTTGGTCAACACATTTAATACCATTTCCCATGAACTTTCTTAAAATCCTATTAATTAGCCCACAAAGCCTTCATTCTTCCTCAGTTATTCCTGTCTCTCTTATTATCTCATCCTTTTAATTTTCTTTCTTTCTTCCTTCTTTCCTTTGTTTCTTTCTTTCGTTTAATAAACTGTCAAGTGTGAAGTATCTGAGTCTTTACCTTACTTGGAAGTTACCTGACAGAGATTCATAGAACTTGGCAGAAAACAAGACTCCTAGGCCAGGGAAAAATCACAGTTCACTACTTTTAGTACTAGTAAGAGGCTGGGAATCAGCATTTCCTTCAATTTTCCAAGCCCCAATTTTCCCAGAGCAAATTGAAGAGGGCCAGGTGATATGAGTACGTACAACAGGTTGCTTTATAGAAGAATCCAGAGTTCAAGAAACCTTAATCTTTTACAATGGACAGTAAGCATGTCTTTTTATTACTCCAGAGGAAGACCCTATTTCTATCTTCTAAGATTTTTCACACATATTTGATAACATAGTCTAGAACAAAGGTAGTCAGTGCTTCAGCTTTGCTCATGAGACCTGCAGAAACACAAATCATGGAGGATTTTTTCCCAACAGCCTCTCTAAAGAATGATCTACTGATGTACCCTCATTGCTCCACTTTCTCACCTATTTGAACTATGACATTCTAGCATCTTCTTTTACCATATTATTGAAATTATTCTTGTCTGTCATCTACAATGTCCTTGGTTCACTTTCAGCTCTTAGTAGCATTGGACACCAATTTTTCTTGAAATATTTTCTTCCACTGGCTTCCTTCTGGTATTTTACCCTACTTATTTGACATCTTCTACCCAATCTCCTTTGTGCATTCTTTTCATTTCTTAAATGTGAACATCCCTCAATAATATGGAGATGGCACCTGCTGTAACTCAAGTCAACATCACTCACCTGAACTCCTGTATATATATATAATGTTCAGCTTCTAACTGAATCTCTGCACTTGAATGGCACAAACATTCCAAATACAACATATCCAAAACTGTCTTCATCTTTCTTCCTGTACCCAATCCTTATAAGGAATACCCATATTAGTGTTAACCATCTTATTAAATAGCAAAAAAATCTAGCACCTTAACCCATTCATAAAATATTATTTTGATAAGATCTCTTGCCCATAAACTTAGTTTCTCTTGAAAGTGAAACACAACAAATGAGGAAACAATAGGCACTTAAATAAATTACCAGTTGTGATTAGTGCTTGGAACTAACCAATAGAACGACTCCCTTTTTTTTTTTTTGATAAGGTGGTCAGAAAAGTCCTTACTGATGTGGTTACATTTGTAGTAAGATATAAATAATGATAAAGGACATTTAAAGAGTATTTGGGGAAGAGGGAATAATAAGAAAAGAGCAGTTGGGGAAGGGACAATAATAAAGAAAAAGGTTTTAGTTTGGGAAAAAGTGTGCCTATTTGAGATATAGTAAGGTGTCTAGCACTTGCAGAGGAAGAGTGAAGAGTGGCACAAGATGAGACTGGAAAGATAGGAGGAGATCATGCAGGAGTCATGAAGGCATGCAAAGGGTATTTTATTTTATTTATTTGGTACTTGTGATTAAACCCAGGGGCCTTAACCACTGCATCTCTGGCTCTTTTTATTTTGAGACAGGATTTCACTAAGTTGCTTAGAGCCTCATTGAGTTGCTGAGACTGGCCTCAAATGTGCAATCAGCCTCCCATGGACCACCACACGTGGCACAAAGGCATTTATAAAACATCTTTATTGAAATATGATTCATATACCACATAACTTACCCATTTCAAATATATAATTCAATGGGTTCTAGTATATTCATATGGATGTGCAATAATTACCACAGTAAATGTTTTAGAACATTTTCATTACCTCACAAGGAACACCATTACCCCCAAAGGAGGAGTGCAACCTCTGTGCCCTTTAGCTGTCCCCAGCTATCCTTTCCCCCAAACTCTCCACCTCATGCCTATTAATCTAATTTTTGTCTCTAGTTTTTCCTCTTCTGGGGTTTAATATAAATGGAATTGTATGTGGTCTTTTGCATTTGGCTTCTTTCACATAGCATAATGTTTTCAAGATTCGTCCACGTTGTAGTACTTATCAATACTTTTTTTTCAGGCTTTGATGTTTTATTAGAACAAAATTTCAACAAAAAGTGGCTTTTAGTTACAGAATTTAATTTGTGTGGGGATGTGTAACCTATTTAGTCCCAAGAAAAGAAAAAGAAAGAAAAGCCTTTTTGTTTCACATTCCTAAAAATGTGAAATGGTAAATAAACCCTCCCTTACCTATTCCTTAATTAAATATACAAACAACTTCAAAAACACAATTTAAAGTGGTTTAATCTTGAAGTGTAACCCAATGAGACTGAAAACTGCACATTTCAAGACCTGTACCAAATAGTAAAATACTTGAAGGCCATCAGGATCCTTTGACTGATTTACCTCAATAAGAGAGCCTATTTTTGATGTGGTAAAAGAAATGTGTTCATCTCTAATGTCACCCTGTCAGGAGGAGACCACAGGGCATCATCTTCTTTTGTGATATCACTGTCATCAATAATTCTTTTCAGTTCTTCCATTACAGTACTATGTACATATACCTCTTTCCTGATCATGACATCATTTTTGTAATTGCTGTTGTTGGCATATCTAGGTTTTCCATCCGGCTGAAATTCGAACTCTAGAAATTCATGTCCAAACTTGCCCTTGTGCTCTACATAGTAGCATAGATAGAAATCACTAGCCATAGCCATTTTTGTGTCCCAGAAGCCTGTCGAAAGCTTGGCCAACATGCCACCCAGCACCTATTAGTCTCTACTTTTTATAGCCAAATGATATTCCATTGTATGGATAAACCACATTTTATTTATCTACCATTGATGGAAATTTTGTTTTCAACTTCTGATGACTATAAATCACTATGAATAATGTTGCTATAAATGCCTGTGTACAGGTTTCTGTGTGGACATACATTTTCAGTCCTCTTAAATACCATACCTATGACTGGAATTCCTTGGTTATAAGGTAACTCTATATTAAATCATTTGACAAACTACTAGATGGTTTTTCAAAGTGGTTATACAATTTACATTTTTAGTAAGACAAACAGCAGTATGAAGGCTCCTAGTTCTCCGTATCTTTGCCAACACTTGTTGTTATCTGAATTTTTTATGCTAGCCACTCTAGTTGGTTTCATTCAAAGACATCTGGAAATGGAAAGACCTGTGAGAAGGCCATTCCATTCATTCAGGCAATGAAGCATGGCAGTCTTTCCTGCATTGGCAGGTAGAAAAGACAGATAAAAGTAAACAGTAACCTGGAGTAATACTTGATTTATGGCGCACTGTTCATTCCCATGTCTAATCAATGTCTATGTCCTGTCAATTCAGCTTCCTAAATGCCCCTAGATTATATCCACAACCACTCCATTTCCATGACTGGCTCCCTTTCTCAGTTGTGTTATCTTTCCATGAGCCGCTGTCAAGGTATACTCACAGGATCTCCCAGTTATGTTCTTCCCCATATCAAAACTAGTTGAGCATTCAAAGTGATTTTCTAAAACACTGATCTTACCATGTTTTTTCTAATAAAAATCTTGCATTATCTCCCATTTCTCTGAACACACACCTTTCACTCCTCACTGGGGTTGGTAAAGCCTTTCAGGATTTAGGGGTTTTTTTTTACTGTCTTCATTCACATCTCCTTCCTTCCTTCTTGCCTGAGCTCCATCAGTATGTAATTTCTTCTACAGTTTGAATGTTACTTTTTCTCTTATTCACAGTCCTTTATTCACATTGTTTCCTTTGCTTGAAACAATCTTTCTTCTGGTCTTTGTCTGGTTAAATGAGTCTAATTCCTGGAGTCTCAATTTAAATATCACTTCCTTCCACATTCTTCCTGGGCTTCCTAAGATAGCTCAATTGGTTTCTTCTAGGTGTACCCCAGTTCTGCCTCCTCTATTTGCCTCTATCATTACAATTATGTGTTGTAATTGCCTTTTCCCCACATTTTTATGGGTGCATTGTAATTGTATATAATGGTGGAATTTGTTGTTACATTCATACATGCACACAATATAACAATACAATTTGGCCAGTGTTACTTCCAAGCACCTGCAATTTCTTTCTTTCTCTCTCTCTCTCTCTCTCTTTTTTTTTTTTTTTTTGAAATTTTAAAATTTGTTCTAATTAGTTATACATGACAGCATAATGCATTTCATTTCTGCAATTTCCTTTTTATCTGCCTTTGTTCATCACTAAACTGTGAATTCATTGAAGGCTGGCTACTTGCTCACTGATAGAGGCTCAGCACCAAGGACAGTTCTCAACACACACTGGGCACCTGATTCATATCTGTTGAATAAATTATCAATTAACTTTTTGGAATGCAGATTGGCTTCTCCTAGAAACACTTGAAATAATATTTGCAACATTAAAGCATATATATATGAATATTTGAATTTTATATTCTAAATTATAGACTATTATACAATTTCAATGTGGTGTGTGACTTTAGCATATTATACCTACAGATTTCTAGTGTGACAAAAAAAAAATAGTATTGGGGTTGTAATTTTATGGCTCAGTGGTAGATCACTTACTTGCCTAGCATGTGTCAGGCACTGGGTTCAATTCTCAGTGCTGCATAAAATAAATAAAATAAAGGTGCATCAACAGCTAAAAATATTTTAAATAGTACCCAAAAAGCATCTATATGACAGAAATTTTTATTTCCCAAACTAAAAAAGGCAAGTAGTAATCATCTGCATCTAAATTAATCTTTTTTCCCCCTTGTAGTGCTGGGAATTGAACCCCAGGCCATATGCATACTAAGCAAGCACTCTACCAATAAGCCACACACCACAACCTGCACTCCTCCATTTTTATTTCCTTCTAATTTTCCTTTCTTATTTCATGAATCAGAGCCACACCCAATTCAGATCAGTTTACTACCCAGATCTGAAGATACAGTTGGTACACAAAAATAGAAAATAAAAAATTTTCTTGTGCTACAGGTTATTGGATTTCTTCTGGAAAAGGGAGCAGATATTACCCTTTGCAATTATAGCAACCAAACTGCAGTTCATGTAGGCAACTGTGATATCCAAAGGCAACTCTTGGCAATCAGTGGAATCCAGGATCCCCAAATGAAACTTCTACAAAGTTCGTGGCAAGGTGATCTTGAAAAACTTCAACAGTTACTGGTTAGTTAAACTGATGTTTATTTCAGCCTTTGGGTGGGTATACAAGTGATAAGAGCACAGACCATATATGACTCCTTTTAAAGAAAAACAAGGTATTTTCAAATGCAATTTCAGAAAGTTCATGAAGGGAATATGAGAAAGAAACAGGATCAAATAGGATGCTGAGGTGGAAAACAAGATAATAAAAGAACACAGTCCTCCAGCAGAATGCTAGAAGAAGTCATGCAGCCCACTGGGAAATGATATGCTCCCAGGAAGCCTCCAGAGGACTACTGTCAACTTGCTCAGAGGAGTTCCCTTGACATCATTGCCATTTGTACAGTTGCTGTTTAGATCCCTTTGGACCAGTTGCAGTTATTATCTTTATCCTGAAAAGGGAATCAGCCAGCCTATGTCTTGTATAATATTTAGTTGTGACTAAAGGACTTCAGAGGACATATTTTTAAATGCTGTTTTTTGAGAGTACTAATCTTCTCATTTAGATTTTCTACCTTTAGATTATTTTTCCCAGAGAACTTTATGAAATCATATGCATAACTAAAGGACATTAATTATTGAAACTGGCAATTGTCTGCTCTTGGCATTTACCTTCAAAAATACTTGTCAGGCCCACATGACCTTCCAACTGAAAGAAAATCAATTGCTGCTAGGAAACAGTTTCTTCTAATCCCCTATGGTAAAGATACAAACAGATAAAGAAAGAGTGAAAGATATTCCAGTCATGTACAGGTCAAGGATAGCTAGAACAAAACCAAAGGATACTTTAAATTCTTTTGTTGTACTAAATGATAGTCTGTGATAGTCTAAAATTGCCATGCACCATGGAAGGAGGCTTGGAAATTTTTCTTAAACACAATACATTTTATTTTAATGTTATTCTCAGCAGTTGTAATTGTAATCCAATGTCTGTTTTCATAATCACATTTTTCACCCCTAAAGATTAGCAACCAAGCTTTAAGAAACTAGTGCCTATAACTGGATCTAGAGCTTAATTGACAGATGCTAAATTAATGTGCTTCTGCAAGATTATTCTCAGCTTAAAACTTTCATGTTGGTTCTAACTAATAATAAACATTGATATAAGAGGCAATTTCTTCTCAGAGACAGAAAAAAAATATTAACTAATTAATTCCCACAGCACCCTGCTGAAGTAATATCATTATCTCTATTTTGTCCCTAGAGAAGCTGAGATAGAAACACTGACTATACTGATGGTATAAAGTGAAATAGAGATGGAAATTAGTGAGTTACTTTGATCTATAAAATGAGCAGTTTGGATATTTTGGCCTTTCAGTAGCCAATTCAGTTCTGAATTGTGTCAATAAAATTTTACTTTCATTAGAGCAACCAACACTAAACCCATTGTGTTTGACTATATAAATCTAGTTAAGGAAACTGCCTTATTATTATAAATTATTAATTGTTTCAATAAGTGTTTACCAAATACCTACTATATGTCAGACACTTTGATAAGTGCTTTTTATATTTTGTCTCTAATCATCAAACAACACTGCAAATAAGTTGTTATGATTCCAACTGTATAGCAGAGGATTCTGAAGGTCAGTAAGTATAGGGTTGATAGATTCTGCAAATAAAATACAGGACACCCAGTTAAACTGAATAAACAGTACATAAATTTTTAGTATAAGTGTTTCCCAAATGAAAATTATTCATCATTTAACTGGCATCTCTTATTTTATCAAAGGTTGATTTTATCAACTATTTAACAAGGTATCTGTGATATAATCTGTCAGGGAGGTTGAATAACCAGTGAACAGAAGGAAGGCTGAAACCCAGGTCTGTCTGTCAGGTTTGTGCTCTTCTACCTCTTCAGCTTCCTCTCAGGATAGATTTTTTTTAGTGTTGATGGACCTTTATTTTAATTATTTACATGTGGTGCTGAGAATTGAACCCAGTGCCTGCAACTGCCCCACCACTGAACTACAACCCCAGCCCTCAGAATAGATTTTGAGAAAGAATAAGGCTGGGGGTGTAATTCAGTTGCAGTTTATGTGCTTATACAAGAGAGGCCTTAGGTTCACTCTTCAGCACCAAAAATAAAAAATAAATAAAATAAAATGAGAAGTTAACCAAGTAATGAAAATACAAAGATTAGTATAAACAGGCATACAGTAAAACACAATAGAAATAAAGCCTCATGTTTTTAAAGGCATCTGAAGAATTTCTGGATATAAATTTCCCAAACCAACATGGCTTGACTCCTCTGATGCTGGCTGTGAGAGATGTGGACCTGTTTGAGAGTCTTGACATGCTAACAGTCTATAGACCTGAGGAAGTCCTATCGGAGCTCCTTAAGCATGGCGCGTGAGTATTAGTGGTCAATCAGCACTAGTTGAAGAGCATCTATCTTGTTGTTATTTACAGAAATCACATGTAAACATAGACATGCAGATGGTTTTCTCTTATATACATTAAATGCAGATGCATTGTCAAAAAAAACTGACAATTGAAAAGGAATGTACAGATATTACATTATTATAGATATTATATAACTTATATTACAGATATTACATAACTGCCTATTATTCTTAAGATACCCAGCTCTTTGGGGTTTTATTGTTGTTGTGTTTTGTTTTGTTTTGTTTGCTTGTTTGTTTTGAGAGGATTTGGGGGATTGAACCCAGGGGCACATTATCACTGAGCTACATCTCTAGCCCTTTTTATATTTCATTTTGAGACTGGGTCCCAATAATTGCTGAGGCTGGCCTCCAATCCTTCTGTCTCAGCCTTCTGAGTAGATGGGATAACAAGTGTGCACCATGGTGCCCAGCCAGCTCTTCATTTGTTTAAATACTTACTATTTTGGTAGTTACTGGGAATGTCAAATAATTCTTGATCATGCAGATCTCTACCTCCAAGATGTCATTAACAATTTTGAAAAGCATTGTCGATCTATCAAAAGCAATTTATTGTAATGATTTCCAGTTATCTGAAAATAACTATTTACCAAATCCTCTTCTAGAAGTTGGGAGGTTGGCAATTAACTTTAAAAGGGGGAAGGGTTAATAAATAGTCTCTCATGTTAGAATTGCAGTTTCTATGGCTAATACCTAGACATCTTGTCATTGAATGAGAACAGATGGCCCCACTCTTTCTCAGTATTTCATATGAATTTTGTTTTGGAAAAAAAAAGGAGCTTCAAGAAGAAAAGTATGATCAAGGATATGAATTATAATAAAAGTATCAGCACAATGGAATGAAAATGAAATTTTGAGACTACCTCAGACATTAGTGTTAAGAAATTGGAGTGATTGTTAAAAATGCAGATTACTGAACACCTCACCCAAGATAGTGTCCAACAGGTCTGGATTGGGACTCAGAATACAGAAGATTAAAGACCAGTTGGTGGAGAAACACTACTCTGACAGATGAGAAAACTGAGATTCCAAACAGAGTGACTTGCTTAGAGCTGCATATCAAAGCAGTGGCAGCCTCCAATTCTTGGTCCTATGCTATTTCTTTTGAATTACGACTTTTGCCAGAGAAAAGGCCACAAGAGAATACCGTGTTGGAGCTCATAACTCATTACCCTGTCCATCATGACAAAGAGACTTAAATTAAAAGGTTTTAGGTTGGAAACCATAATCCAACTTGCTCCTTGTCCTAGAATGCAAAGAATAAAGAGAGTTGTTTCCCACCCTATAATTTGTTAATGGGTTCCCTTTGGTTCTCTGGAAGCCAATATCAAAAGCTAGGATTCAGTACAGCATGGAGAGGATAAGAAGATGTTTATACTGTTGCAAAAGGCCCTAATATCAGCCAGTTTAGCCTAATAGCTATGGGACTAAGGAAGGAGAAATGAAATGGCCATGTGCAAAGGGACACTTTAAATATTATGACAAGATGGTTTCACTCAACCATAAGCCTGTGAAAAAATCATAATAGTTTTTGTTTTATTTTATTTTGTTTTGTTTTGTTATGCTGGGAATTGAACTGAGGAAACACTCTACCACTGAGCTTTACCCCAGCCCTAGTTTAACGTGTGTGTGTACTAGTTTATTTTCAAAGAGAGATTTTATGCAATTCCACCATTGTGAATGATGGAAGAGCAAGCTGTTAGCATTAGAAAAAAAGCCAGCAATTAACTAAAGCATTGGAAAGGAAAAGATATGAATGCAGCTATTTAGGATGATAAAATAACAGTTTTATGTTTCCTTGATTTATGCACCATTAAATTATAAGAATTTTTGCCCAAAGTTGGAAATGTTCTACAAATCTTAGAATATCTTTAGAATGAGTGTGGGAGTAAGATATAGAGAATATTCCTCCTATTTTAAATCTTGAAAAATCATCACTCTCTGTCACATACATGCATTTCAAAATCATTATTATTATCCTAACTTTGTAATATTACTTTATTTATTTATTTTTTTTTTGGTGGTCGTGCTGGGGATTGAACCCAGGGCTTCACATTTACAGGCAAGTGCTCTACCACAGTACTACTACTGTGTGACATCTCTAGTTCTGTAGGATTGCTTTTTATTTATTTGAGCTCAATGTTTTTCCCTGCCATAATTATTTTCTTTTTCAACAGATTTTACTAAATAATCTTTGATATTGATTTTGTTCTTCCTAGAGATCCTAAACTCTGTGATTCTAGTGGAAAATCAGCAGTACATTATGTATCACAAATAGAAAGTTTGAAGAAACAGCAGTTATTGGACATTCTAATGAATTCTATGCCAAAACCAGGTAAATATTTCTTTTTCACATGCATTATTCTCCAACTAAAAATGCCTGTTAGCAGTCTTTCTTTTTCTACATCTTTTTGATGGATACATTTATATAATGACTCAATTGAGCAGTTACTACAAGGCCCAGAACTTGATGCTCTGAGAAGTGCTAAGAAACAATGTCAAATTGGGAAAGAGATTCCTAGGCCGACATGGGGAGAAAGTGAGAAATCTCATTGGCAGCCTGGAGGCAGAAGATATATTACAAAGAATAAATAAGCAAAATATGGTAAAGAAGTGGAGGGTCTGAGGGCAGGTCACATATTCAATTTTGTTTCAAGGTCAAGATTAACTGGAAGAGTTACTGGAAAAGGTTCATTTCATTGATAGAGAGCCTAGGTTTTGTTTTTTTTTTTTGAAAATGTCAGGATAGAAGAAGTGGGATACATAAGAGAGCAATGTCCCTTGGTAACTAGGAGTCTTTGGTGCTCAGAACTCTTTATCAATTCAATGTGGCTTCATGGGGAAGTGAACTTTGAGTAGCTGAGTGCCTTTGTTCTTGGCAACTGTAGAGCAAATATGATTTCCTGCTCAGTGTTAGGGTTACACTTTGCCACTTCGCCTAAAACAAACCAGTGAACCCCGAATGTTTGAAGGGAGAACAGTGGATAACTATTTAACCTCATAATATCTCCTTTTCCACTCACCAAAGAAGAAAGTTGTGTAACCTGTTTTTAAAATTACAGGATGCTCTGCAAGTCCCTGTATTACTCAGTTTAATTATTAGCCATTTTGTGTTGAGATCATCCTTATTCTCCATGAATGCTCCAGGGCAGTGTGGAGATTCAGAGAAGGAAAAAACAGTATCATCAGAACCAGCATGAAGTCTTCACTACTTTGATCCACATATGGAAGTGTCCCAGGGTGACTAGAATAGATGAAGAACTTTTTTTTTTTTCCAACCACCCACCAGTGGAAGTCCATGCAAGGGATCATCCTTGTGAAAGGTGAAGAACAGATGTTCTTCCTCTGTTCCTAGACCACTGGAAAAGAGGACTTCACAACCCTGAACCAAGTGCTGATGGTTTGAATGGTTGAAAAGCTTGTCTTCATATCCTAACACCCCACAGAGGGGTTGCAATGAGGATGTAGAGATTATATGTGAATTGGTTTGCATTATGTTGAACAAAAATCTGACTCTTGGTAACTTTAATTCATAGAATTTAAGGGTCAATAGGTATGCAGGTGTTGATTGATTGAACTTTAACTCAAGTATTTCACTTACTCAAAAACTCAAGGTCCTTGTTTATTTCTTTATCTTTGAATGATAGCAATTGTCACTAAACCCTTTAAAAATTTTTTTGTAATCCATTTATTCTACGAATTCCTGTTGTTCCATATCTTTTCCTGTGAAAATTACTGCTAAAGCTTCATTGAGATCCCGGCCCATTACTTTAGGAAAATTTGACAAAACGAAACTGATTTTAAAGGCTAGAACTAGTTCTTCCTGTGAAATTGTTGGAGATGAATCTTATCAAAACACAATATTATGTTTCCTTTTGACAGAAAAACATGCTGAATCATTGCTTGACATTTGTCATGATACAAATTCTTCTCCAACTGATATGATGACAATTACCAAAAATCAAAACATAATCTTGCAAAGCATCAGCAGCAGTGAGGTAAGATACTCCTTTTAAAGAAACAAAATAAAAAAAAAAAAAACAGCCAACTGCACCATCTACCATTTCATCTGTGAGACTTGGATATTTTGTAATAATCATATAATTGTATTTTAATGTAATTCATTAAAAAATGTAAAGCACAATTAGTAAGACACTCTTCTGAGTCTACTGTTAGAGTGGTAATTAGTCAATTCTGAGTCTCATGTATAACTTGTGTGTTGTGTGTCTGTCTGCCTTAGCTTAACAAAGTGGCATAAACTGGGAGGCTTACAAATGATAGAAATTTATTTTTCACAGTTTTGGAGGCTGAAAGGTTAAGATCAGGGTTCCAGCCTGGTTGGGTTCTGGCGAGGGCTGTCTTTCAGCTTGCAGCCTGCCAACTTCTTATGGTATCCTCACATGGCAGAGAGACAGCTAGTGAGCCCTCTGGTATCTCTTTTATAAGAGCATAAATCCATCTTGAGGACTGCATTCTCATGATCTAATTACCTCCCAAGGCTCCACTTCCTAATACCACCACTCCGGCAATTAGAATTTCAAAATATGAATCTTGGTGGGACACAAACATTCAGTCTATCCAAAACTCTGTGTGTGTGTTTAATAACATAAAAGATTGTTGCAGCTGAATCCACACTAAATGCCACATAATTCCATTTATTGTGTCTTCTTCAATTTTTTCAACAATGTTTTATTAGCATAGAAGTATTTCATTGTACCATATTTTTGTAGCTTCCAATTATATTTTTAAGGAATCTGATGGGCTGGAAGTACAACTCAGTAGTAGACTGCTTGCTTAGCATGCACGAAGCCCTGGGTTTGATCCCCAGCTCTGCACCAAAAAAAAAAAAAAAAAAAAAGAAGAAGAAGAAGAAAGAAATCTGGCACCATTCTAATTTCCTATTCTTTGTATATTCGTTTTCTCTCTGTGACTGTATGTCTATCTCTTCTTCTACTCCCTCCCTTCCTCCCTCCCTCCCTCCCTTTCAGCTTTTAGGATCTTCTTACAACCCCAGTATTTTAAAACTTCATAATACTTTAGGGTAACTTTCTTAATCATTATCCTGGGAACTAGATGAACCCTTTAAACTTGAAAATTCATCTTCTTTGGTTCTTGGAAATTTTCATTTTTTTTTTCTTTATTCCCCTTTCATTATTTTTCCCAGCCAGGCATGGTAGTACGCACCTGTAGTCCCAGCACTTGGGAGGCTGAGGTGGGAGAATCACGTAAGCCCAGGAGTTCAAGATGAGCCTGGGTAATAGAGCAAGACCCTGTCTCAAAATACATAAACAAACTTAGTTTTTCCTTTTATTTATTTGTGTTCTCTATTTCAACTGCATTCCCCCTTTTTTTTTTCTTTTTGTTGTGTTAACTCTATCTTTTACATTGAAGGTTTTCTTCAAATATCTGGAGACCTTTGACTATTGATTTATATTTAAGGAGACACTAAAACCTGACTAGAAGCTCTCTACCCATGGTGCAGTTTATCTATTGGTGGGCTTCGTTGGGATTGATTTGATAGTGAAATGATTCGAGGAGGGGGGACTAATATATGTCAGTATCTATAGATCTATTCTCTGGGGTCATTAAATATCTTCAGAAAAGGATTTTACAAACTTTTGACTCAGGAATATAAATTGGCTGCAGGCTGTATAGGAGCTGGGTCAGAAAGGAGGACGAATACAGTGTTTCTGCCAATATTCAAACTTAAAGATTCTCTTCTACTTTGAAGCCTTGTTCCCACTCTTCATCATGCATCTTGTCTCTAAGTCCAGACCCTTCCAGTTCAAATAATTCCCAACTAAGTCTTCCTTCCTTCTTTGAAGGTGGAGGTGGAGCAGTGGTATGGTTACATACAGTAAAGTAGAATGTTGGAGACCTCTCTGTTCCTTACACAGACTTTCAACCAAACCATCTTTTTGCAACCTCTTACTAACTCCCAATTTTTGTAGTACCTGGTGCTGCTTACTCCTGAGCTCTGCCATGTGGTACATCATCTTCTTTCTCATTGATATCTCATCTGCAGACAACTAGGTTTTAACCTAGTTAATTACCTATTGCTTACTGCCAAATCCTGTTCACTTTCTGACCTCTTATATGATAACTTGGGTTTGGCAATGTATTCCACCATGTTGCATTTAATCTAAGAAACCACCTATTATAAAATAAAATATCATCAAATATACCACAAAAAAATGACAAAATGGTGACCATGTGACTATAATGATTGTGGCATTTTGTTTTGTTTTGTTTTCAGTACTGAGGGTGGGGCTAGGGCCTTGCACATGCTAGACAAGGACTTTACCACTGAGCTACACCCCCAGCCCTGACTATGACAGTTGTAAGATGTCTGATTTCAAAGATGTTAAAATGCAAAGTATGCATCATATATTGATAGAAGCTAATTTGAAGAAAGAAGCTCAACAGTTTTTTTTGTTTGTTTGTTTTTACATAAATGTGTAAAAGTAATTCAGTGGAGAAAAGACAGTTTTTGAATGATGCAGGAATAATTGAACATCAATATGCAAAAATATGTACCTCAATTTAAAACTCATACTTTATAAAAATTAACTCAAAGTGGTCGTAAATCTAAGAAGAATTCTTAGGCATAAGACCAAATTTATGTTCCATAAAAGAATAAATTGGTTTTTATCAAAATTTTAAACTTCTGTTTGTTAAAAGATTAAAGGATTTAGAAATGCATGTCAAGTCTTCTTACTGACTGAAAGAAAATATTTGTGAGTCACATATCCAGAATATATAAAGAATTCTCTAAATCCAACAGTAAGAAATCAATCCATCCAATTAGAAAATGAGCAAAAGATTTAGACAATTTATACTAATAATAAATAAATACAAGAAGAAGTGTTCATTGATCATGAGATGGACACAAACTAAGGCCACAGCAGATGCTACTACACACTTATTAGAATGGTTGAAATAAAAAATACTGACAGTACCAAATAGACCAATAGAAAGGGGGCAAAATTCTTGATCAGACATATAGCAAAAGAAGACATCTAAAGGCCAATAAAACACATCAGCTTTTACTCATTGGATAAATGTAATGTTTAACCACATTGTGATAATATTACACATGTACCACAATGGTTAAAAATTTTAAAGTTGTAAAATACCAAGTGTTGGCAATTATGTACAGCAACTGGAATTCTTATGCAGTGCTGCTGAGAGAATGAATTGTTGGAATCATTTTGGAACAAGCTGTTTGTTGATGTCTATTAAAAATGAACATATGCATACTCTATGAACCAGCAATTCCACTTGTATGTGCATATCCAGTAGAAATATATACACATTCACAAAAGATACATACTATAATGATAGAGTGGCACTAATCATAATAGCCCCCAAATGGAAACTACCCAAATACTATAAACAATAGAAAGGATAAATAAATTATGGCATATTCACACAGTGGAAAACTATACACAAATGAAAATGAATTATTTTACATGGCATGCAACAATATAGAGGAACCTCAGAAATACATTGCTTAACAAAAAAATCAGACATAAAAGAGTAAATACTAGATGATTTCATCTATATAAAACACAAAGGAGGCATAATAAATTAATGGTGGTAAATTCAGGATGAGATTGTGTAAAAAAGTGCTTTGGTTAAAAAAAGTGCTTTGTTTAAAAAATAAGTGCTTTTGTGATGTTGATAGTGTTCTTTTACTTGATTGGAGTTCTGGTTACATGAGTATTTTCAGTTTATAAAAATTCATGAATCTATACCCTCATGATATGTGCACTATTCTGAACATAATGTTATGCTTACAAGTAATGCCTTCAAACATCTGACAAAAGAATAGGATTTTCAAAATAGGATTTTATACCCAAACTAGCAATTAAATATTAGAGATGAATAAGGCATTTTCTTCAGACACACAAATTCCTAAACATTTTACTTCTTATACATCTTTTAAGAAAGCTTCTTGGGCTGGGGTTGTAGCTCAGTGGTAGAGCTCTTGCCTAGCATGGGTGAGGCACTGGGGTTGATCCTTAGCACCAAAGAAAGAAAGAAAGTTAAATTCTTAAAAAAAAATAAAGGAAGAGCTTTCTTTTGACAAAAAGAAAGCTACAAAATGCTCTATTAAATAAATTAAATTAAGAAAGGAAAAATAGGATTTATTACTCAGTGGATCTAGGATCTAAAATGAGAGAGAAGAGGAAATCATTGATAGAGAATACAACAAAATCTACAAGGACTTCAACCATATAGCAGGTCTAGAGAACAAAGAGCTCGAATATTGGCAGAGGTTGGAGAGGGGCAGATTAATGGAAAAGGGAAATAGAATGGATATATTATTTCATGTATCTGACCAAGTGGAGAGAACATTAGAGGCTAGGAAGATTTAGGCATCAAATAAAGATATGCAAAAACAAATAAAATAAGTCAATTAGAAATTAAAAACAGGAGTTTAGGGGAAAGCAGGGATGAGTAGGCAGAGCAGACAGAGTACAGAGGATTTTGAGGGCTGTGCAACTGCTCTATACGATATTATCATGGTGGACACAAGTCATTACACATTTGTCCAAACCCATATAATGCACAGTGTCCAGAGTAAACTTTAATGTAAACTGTGGAGCCTGGGTGGTACTGATGTGCTGGCGGACCTACCACCATGGTGGAGATGCTATTCATGGAGGAAGCTGTATATGTGTAGGGCAGGGGGTTATGAGAAATCTCTATGCCTTCTCAAATTTTCTGTGAACCTAAAACTGCTCTAAAAACCAGTTTGAAAAACAAGGGCTTTTGGTTGTGTCCAGGGAGAAAACAATTATACTACAGTTGTACTACTATATAATACAACACCTACATATTCCTAATTCCTAATAATTGGACTTTAACTATTGACAAAAAAAAAAAGAGTAGATTTATTGAGAGGATGGGGTGGGGCACAAGAATGCTAAATCTACAACTATAATTTACATCACCTGTGATGTCTTACTTTTGTACTCCACAGATACCATAA